TGGCTTTGAATTGTTTGATCACCCTCCTTATTCTCCTGATTTAGCCCCATATGACTATCATCTGTTCCCTAACATGAAAAAACACTTGGTTGGGAACCAGTATAGCAGTAATGATGATGTCATATCTGCTGTTGATGATTTTTTTGACCAATAGGATGAAAGCATTTACACTAATGGAATTCAATCAGGGCAACACATTGATGAAAGAATTGTGCGGTCCACAAGTTGGAGGAGCTATGTTGAAAAATAAAACTCATTTTGGTCACATTCCATGAGAATATATTGCATTGCCTATGATCATTTTAAGAAAACCTTGTATTGCTCTACAGAAGGATGTTGAGAATACCATGGAAAGAGCATATGAGCAAGAAGGAAGTTTTAAGGACAATGGAAACAGAAAGGACACTTGAATTCAATGTCACACCTAATATATTTTGCCACATACGCACATATATATTTCAAATGTTATAGTGGACACTTGTATTTGAACTAGCCCAATTTTTATTTTTATTTTAAACTGTGTGTATTATGTCCATCTGTCTGCACACTCAAGAAACCTCAATAAATAAAATGTGCTCTCAGGTGGGAATTGAACCTGTATCCCACTTTGTAAAAGTTTTTTGGGATGGATGTTTATTGACTGCAAAAGGGCCACACCATCAATGGAGAGTACTATGCCAACTTGCTGAGGTAGTTATGAAAGGCTATCAAGACCAAACGCCCACGAAAACTGACGAAAGTGGTCTTGTTTCACCAGAACAGTGATTCCGAACATAATTCCTTTCTTCCCATGATTGTTGTGCGTGACTGTGGCTTTGAACTAATCGATCACCCTCCCTGTTCTCCTGGTTTGACCATCATTTATTCCCTAACATGGAATAACATTTGGCTGGTAACTCGTATCACATTGATGATGACGTCATATCTTCTGCTGATGACTTGTTTGACCAAGCAGATGATCAATCTTCTTTGAACCGCCAAATGTGTGTTTACCTGGAAATAAACAATACAGTTACTAATAAGCAGAGTTGAAATTGATGCATGCAAGGTTTCACAGCTGTAGCATTACTCCTTTATATTCAGCCTATGAACATTTCAGCCCAGGTATTACAGATGTTTGTTCACTGTTCAGCTGTGTGGCCATTTTGATAGATCACGTCATACAAAAGATTACAATGTCCTTTACTTTGCTGATGTTCAAAGCTTCCATTTCAGGCTTTTGCATAACTTGCTTTTGAATTGGTCGCTTCCTCAAACTTTATCTCGTCTCTTCTCGTTTCATCTTCCTAACGTCACCAATTTCGTTATTCGAGATTTCCCTGTCTTTCTCTCAAATCCCTCTCGTTTGAATCCGCCATTTGTCGATTATTTCTGTTGTATTCTAGAAGCTGTTCACTTTTCCATTCTTTCGCATTATGCCCTTAAATCTCCGTTATATATTCCTTTGATATATTCCTTTATTCTTATTCAGTTATATCCGTAATCTTTTCATTTTGATCATTTTGTTTATCTATTCTTATAAGTTTTCCTAAATTCCTTTATTCGCTGATTGTTTGTTACAACATTCAATTATTCCTAAATCCATCATTCTCTGATTTGTATTATTTTGATATCTTATAATTTATTCTTTTTTCACAAATTACATATTCATTCATTCTCTGATCCGATATTCTTTCATTCTCTGTAGCCTTAGTCTCGCCATTGTCTAATGTTTAATCCTTACATTCTCTGTCTGGTGATTTCTGGATTCCTTGTTATGTTATTCCGTCATTCCTTAATTCAATAATCCTTTAATCTTCGATCCGTCATTCTCTCCAATTTTCTCCGATATTTTATTATTTTATTCTCTGTATATTTATTCTTTTATTTCATGATAATTTATTCTTTCATTCTCTGATTCTTCGATTCTTTCATTCTCTGATTCTTCGATTCTTCATTCTTTGATTCGTTGATCTCTTTATTTCGTAATTTTTAATCCATCATTTTCCGTTATTTTGTTACTTCTTTCTTTGTACGTTTGTACAAGGCCCAAGAGCCACTCGAGGTTGAGTGTTACAGAGTAAGCGACACTGTTTACGGGCATATGTGGCGAAGGTTTTAGTGATAGGCGAAGCTATCTTGGATGTTCCACGAAGCCATGGCTCGTGCTAAGAAGATATTCGAGTGTAACTTACATCTCACCAATAGGGTACAAAGGAAATGAGGGTAGTTCGACACAATGGGCGTGGCATGGCAGGGAAGGTCTTAACCGTGAAGGTTATAACTTGTGGAATGTAGTTCACCTATAAACTTTCCATGGAAATAGCAATATCAATTGCTAATAAAAATAGTGAAGAGTAAATGACATACATATTATGCTTCAATATAAACCCAGTAGTTATTTTTCATACTGCATTTCATGCATATAATGCTCGAAAACCATTCAAGTAAAAGTTGTCTCAGTGGAACTTTCTTCCTTCATTTGTAATCCCTAATAAAGGATGAATAAAACAAAGAATAAAGGAATGAAGTATCAGAGAACAAAAGAATAAAAATGGAGAAAACGTAAGGAATAATGAATGAAAGAATAAAGGAATAATGTTCAGAGAATAAAGGAATAAAAATTAAGAAAATGGAGAGAATATTAACTCTAAGAATAAAAGATTAATGAATCATAGAATAAAGGAATAATGTGCAGAGAATAAAGGAATAAAAATTAAGAAAATGGAGAGAATATTAACTCTAAGAATAAAAGATTAATGAATCATAGAATAAAGGAATAATGTGCAGAGAATAAAGGAATAAAAAATTAAGAAAATGGAGAGAATATTAACTCTAAGAATAAAAGATTAATGAATCATAGAATAAAGGAATAATGTGCAGAGAATAAAGGAATAAAAAATTAAGAAAATGGAGAGAATATTAACTCTAAGAATAAAAGATTAATGAATCATAGAATAAAGGAATAATGTGCAGAGAATAAAGGAATAAAAATTAAGAAAATGGAGAGAATATTAACTCTAAGAATAAAAGATTAATGAATCATAGAATAAAGGAATAATGTGCAGAGAATAAAGGAATAAAAATTAAGAAAATGGAGAATATTAACTCTAAGAATAAAAGATTAATGAATCATAGAATAAAGGAATAATGTGCAGAGAATAAAGGAATAAAATTAAGAAAATGGAGAGAATATTAACTCTAAGAATAAAAAAGATTAATGAATCATAGAATAAAGGAATAATGTGCAGAGAATAAAGGAATAAAAATTAAGAAAATGGAGAGAATATTAACTCTAAGAATAAAAGATTAATGAATCATAGAATAAAGGAATAATGTGCAGAGAATAAAGGAATAAAAATTAAGAAAATGGAGAGAATATTAACTCTAAGAATAAAAAGATTAATGAATCATAGAATAAAGGAATAATGTGCAGAGAATAAAGGAATAAAAATTAAGAAAATGGAGAGAATATTAACTCTAAGAATAAAAGATTAATGAATCATAGAATAAAGGAATAATGTGCAGAGAATAAAGGAATAAAAATTAAGAAAATGGAGAGAATATTAACTCTAAGAATAAAAAAGATTAATGAATCATAGATTAAAGGAATAATGTGCAGAGAATAAAGGAATAAAAATTAAGAAAATGGAGAGAATATTAACTCTAAGAATAAAAGATTAATGAATCATAGAATAAAGGAATAATGTGCAGAGAATAAAGGAATAAAAATTAAGAAAATGGAGAGAATATTAACTCTAAGAATAAAAGATTAATGAATCATAGAATAAAGGAATAATGTGCAGAGAATAAAGGAATAAAAATTAAGAAAATGGAGAGAATATTAACTCTAAGAATAAAAGATTAATGAATCATAGAATAAAGGAATAATGTGCAGAGAATAAAGGAATAAAATTAAGAAAATGGAGAGAATATTAACTCTAAGAATAAAAGATTAATGAATCATAGAATAAAGGAATAATGTGCAGAGAATAAAGGAATAAAAATTAAGAAAATGGAGAGAATATTAACTCTAAGAATAAAAGATTAATGAATCATAGAATAGAATAAAGGAATAATGCAGAGAATAAAGGAATAAAAATTAAGAAAATGGAGAGAATATTAACTCTAAGAATAAAAGATTAATGAATCATAGAATAAAGGAATAATGTGCAGAGAATAAAGGAATAAAAAAATTAAGAAAATGGAGAGAATATTAACTCTAAGAATAAAAGATTAATGAATCATAGAATAAAGGAATAATGTGCAGAGAATAAAGGAATAAAAATTAAGAAAATGGAGAGAATATTAACTCTAAGAATAAAAGATTAATGAATCATAGAATAAAGGAATAATGTGCAGAGAATAAAGGAATAAAAAATTAAGAAAATGGAGAGAATATTAACTCTAAGAATAAAAGATTAATGAATCATAGAATAAAGGAATAATGTGCAGAGAATAAAGGAATAAAAATTAAGAAAATGGAGAGAATATTAACTCTAAGAATAAAAGATTAATGAATCATAGAATAAAGGAATAATGTGCAGAGAATAAAGGAATAAAATTAAGAAAATGGAGAGAATATTAACTCTAAGAATAAAAGATTAATGAATCATAGAATAAAGGAATAATGTGCAGAGAATAAAGGAATAAAAATTAAGAAAATGGAGAGAATATTAACTCTAAGAATAAAAGATTAATGAATCATAGAATAAAGGAATAATGTGCAGAGAATAAAGGAATAAAAATTAAGAAAATGGAGAGAATATTAACTCTAAGAATAAAAGATTAATGAATCATAGAATAAAGGAATACTGTTCAGAAAATAAAGGAATAAAAATAGAGACAATGGAAAGAATAATGAATCAAAGAAGTCACCATTTTTATTTGGTAACGCCTCCTCTTGTACGCTTGACACCGATTCCGATGGCCCGGAAATGGCTTTGGATGTGTCATCGTTTGCTTTTCATGTAAAGCTTTATACTTAGGAAAAATATGTGATCGCCAATATTTCCTTTTAGTTTTCTCTCTTTCCTTTTTTTTTTTTCCTTCTTTCTTATCCTTTCTTTTATTTTCCTGTCTTCTTGTCTTTTTCCTCTTTCTTCGTCTTTTCTTCTTTCTTTTTTTCTTTTTCTACTATTTTACCTTCTTTTTTTTATTTTTCTTTAATTATTTCCATCTCTCTCTCCCTTTTCTTTGCCTCTATTTTCTTTCTTTTCTTCCTCTTGCTACTTTTCTTCTGCTTTCATTCTTCCTGCTTCTTTCCTTTCCTTCGATCTTTTCTTCTTCTATCCATTTTCTTTCCTTTTTCCTTATTCTTCTATTTTCTCTCTCTTCATCTTTTTACTTATTTACCTGTTTTTCTTCTTTTTTTCTTCCTTCACTTTTATTCCTTCTTATTGTTTCTTTCCTTATTACATCATTTTTTTTCAACTTCTTTTTTCTGCTTTTGTTCTCGAATCGATCTTCTTTCTTTTCTACATATTTTTTTCTTTTTTCTGTTCTTCTTTTTTTAATTCATCTTTCTTTTTTTCTTTCTTTCTTTTTACATTCGAGTTTCTTTATTTATTTTTATCTTTCCTTCTACAGTTTCTTCTCCTAATTTCTTTATATCACTCTTCTTCTTTTTCCTCCTTCTTCTTTTTTCTTTACTCTCTCCTTATTCTTTCGTTGTTTTCGTCTGTTTCTTTCTTCTTGAGTATTTCATTATTCTTACATTGTTCCTCTCTCTCCGTTTCTTAGTTTTTTTCTTATAGCATTCATCTTGTTTCTTCTTTTCTTTTTTCACTTCTTCATTCTTTTTACTTTTTCCTTCTTTTCCCTTCTTTGTTTCTTTCTTCTTATTCACGTTTCCTTCCTTCTTTTTACTTCTTGTGACTGTTCTCGTTCTCACGTTTTAATTACCTTAATTTTCCATGTATAATACGCATTTTTTCTAAAAAAAATAATAAGCAAGGGTGCGTATTATCCACAGCTACAAAAATCTTTAAAAAATTGCCATAAAATAAGAATTATCATAAAACTAAATTAGAATAACATTATTCTGTATTTTTAAATTAAGAGTAGGAAACGCTGGCCGTAATGAAATTGGAGAGGTACAATTTATAGAGTTTGATTACCAAACAAGGGGTGCGTATTATGCATTTTCCCACACTTACAGCACAATTTTAGGTGTGCGTATTATGAATTAAGGAATATTATGCATGGAGAATTACGGTACTTCTTCAGTTATACCATTTTTATTCTTGCTTCTATCTTCTTTGCCCTCTTCTTTCTTTTTCTTTTCTTTTCCTTCCCCTTACTTCTTTATTCCTATTCCTTACCTATTTCTTATATATATATATATATATATATATATATATATATATATATATATATATATATATATAAGTTTTTGTGGTACAGAATTTAATAATAGATAGGAAAAGACAAAATTTATAAGGCATTTTTTAAAAGAAAAAGCTAAAACAAACAATCGGTTTCGTCCAAGGACTTATCAAGTTTATTTTTCTGGGAATAGAAAATTTAAAAGACGTATAAATTAATTTAAATTAACGAATGAAATGGAATGGAAGAGAAAAAAATGAATTTCAAGAAACTAGAGTCCAATAACATTCAGACCCTGTAAGCATTACTTCTGTTTACAAAGTGAAGGCCCACGGGATCTGATATAGAACCTTGAGGTGAAATGTGGAGTGGTACTTAGATAAAATCAAAAAAAGGTCCACACTCAAATAAACCACACATTTCCTACTATTCATTATATGCTCAGCAATAGCAGAGCCAGAAGTATTGGTTAGTTGGCTCTTTCTGACAGACGGATTCAAAATCCAGGGGGATAAATGTTGTTTTATTCTCGAATCATATATATATATATATATATATATATATATATATATATATATATATATATATATATATTGATGCATGTTTCATTAAATAATATAGACAAGTTTTGTCTATTTATTTTAGTAAGTTCCTTTCATATTGTCTAAGCTTAATAACATTATCGTTGAAAGATGAAAGGAAATCACCATATTGATACATGTTTAAATCCTATCTAAGTTTTCGGCTTACATAAGCCATTATTAAAGATGACAATTACATTTCAATATATCAACCAATACACGGACGAAACAACAATGATATCCCGCCCTTGCTGCATGAAAAATTTCAAAGCAACGACAAAAACCGTGTATACGAAACGCGGAAGGGAAAATCACGTCGCAGCTTTTGACATCACACATGACAACGCGAGAGTGAAAACAAGAAGTATTAAGTATGGGAAGCCGTTGGTATTAACCAACGGCTTCTTTTATAAATTATAGGCATTGAGGAATATTTGTGGAGATTTCATAGTTTATTTTGTTCAGGTTAGGTTTCAACTGGTTTATGTATAAAGCTTCAAGAATTTTTAATTTTTGTTTATTGTTTTCATGTTTAAGTATAGTTGTGTTTTCAACAAGGATTTTCTGGAATTGAGTATGCGGGCAGCTATGCTGTTTTAAATGCCAAAAATTTCAATATATCAAACAACACACACGAGCTGCGACACGATTTAAACATGTATCAAAATGTTATTAAGCTTATCAGACAATATGAAAGGAACTTACTTCAAATAAATAGACAAAACTTGTCTATATTATTTAATGAAACATGCATCAATAAAAAATTGCTGCCTAAATATACACAATATATATATATATATATATATATATATATATATATATATATATATATATATATATATAGTACATGTAAATAAATCCGTTGGTATATAATCCAAGTGAATACAAATAATAATATCAAATATTAAAACTGATCTACAAAAAAATTCTGGATAAGAAGACAGTTAAATAACCTTGACCTATATTTTAAAATATTGACATATAATTTATATAAGGAAATTACTAAAACGAATTAATTGAGAAGAATTTTAAAAAAACATATATATATATATATATATGAAGATGAAGAAATATAGTCTTAAGGTGTGCTATATTTATGGGATAAAGTGCTCAATATCAGAGATAGAGCGTGTGTAAATATAAAAGTGAACATAGACGTTAACACTTAGAGGCGACAGTCTGTTTCTGTAGCCTCTAAGTGTTGACTTCTATGTTCACTTTTATATATATATATATATATATATATATATATATATATATATATGCCTCTTGCATTATTTCTTTTTTTCTCCATTTTTTCATTGATTCCTTTTTATTTTACTTCTTTTTTTCCCTTCTGTTTATTTATATTCGAAATTCTTATTATTCTTGTTCTATTTCATGCATTTCCTTATCCACCTCAGCTGTCCTGCAAATGTCACTGGGGACAAAGAGACAAAAATTCTTAACCCACTATAAGCTTTCTCAGTATTATCGCAACCCCAAACTCTGTGCACTTCTCAAACGTCTCAATGTTTCAAATTAATCCAATGTAGATACTACGGCTCCAAATCTTACTGGCGCTAACATCCATGGTTAACATCTCATTTCTTGAGTGATGTTCTAACATTATTATGATTATTCTATGTGCTACGTCGCTTCAGAACGTGGGTGATCATTGTTCTCCACAGCTTTCTATTTTTTGTAGCTCTTATTAAAGTTTTTTTTTTCACCATCCCTCCCACACTTTGTTCTGTCATCCATTTACAAAAGCTTCCTAGCCACGTCTGTTTTCTTTGTGATTGAAATCAGCGAATTATGGGCTCCTGTCCCTCTTGCCTTTAGTAGGTCATGTGAGTGTCAAATTCTCCAAACCCTCTGTTCCAATTATTTCCCCTGAGCCCTAAGTCATACGAATGTTACGCTAAGAGCGTTTCTAAGTGTATATTGCGGACCTCATTTTAATAAAAGATTGATTTCCAAGGACATTCTGAATGTGTGTATGTCAATATACTTCTGAATCGTTCCTAGTTCTCTTACTACTACTGCTACTACCTTAATAAAGTTTTTAGTAGACATTTGTGTGTAAAAGAAAATTTATTATTATGCTGGGGTCGCATATCTTTTACAATAACGTTCACCCTCTACAAGGCCCAAGAGCCACTCGAGTTTGAGGGTTACAACGTAAATGTCACAGTTTATCTGAATATGTGAGGAAGATAGCGAATAACCCTAGTCTTGAACAGGTTATGACTGTTGTGATCTGGAAAGCATCCTCTCGGGAGTCGGTGCGACAGAAGCTGTTCAAGTGGAACTTATATATCACTAATAGAAAACAAAGAGAGTGAGTAGGATTTGATACAATCGTGCGTAGTATGGCTGGTCTTGGCTATGAAGGCTAGGACTGATGGAATTAACAGATGCATTTCGTGTGACGTCACGGGGCTGCCCCAGGCTCTGATGTCCCGGTGACGGCGCCAATTTTGACGTCGTCCTCCGGTCGCAGCGTCGACTGTGTCGTTCTATCCTGATCTACCACGGCGCCAGTTGTGACGTCCCTAACAGCACCAATTGTGACGTCTTCGCCGCGGCGTCAGCTGTTCGCTCCTCGCTGCTCCAAACGTGACGTTCTAACCCTTTTATGATCCGGGTAAGAATCTGGTTAGATTGATACCAGCCTCACCGTTCCCAACCTGCTTCCAACGCCTGGTTACCAGGGTAACTGCACTGTGGTCTGATTCTAAGTCGCTCTTCAAACTACTTGTTCTTGGTTGAAGAAGTGTCCAAAAGTGTGCGTGAATCTTGGTCAGCTATCTGATGCGGTTTCAACACTGGGCGCTCATCTCTGCTTGTCGTCCAAGGCTCAAAACCTCTCGCCAAGGTCCGCGTCTGACTCAAACTTCTTCTCTCCAGCTTGGGTCGAACGAACTTCTTCTCTCCAGAGTCTGAATTACTGGTCACTCATCTCCGCCGTCGGTGCGCGAACTAACTTCTTCTCGCCAGCTTGGGTCGAACGAACTTAGGCCACACGAACTGGCCTCTCCTGCCCGCTAAGGGGCGAACGAACCTGGCCCGCCGTCCGCGGCTCCACTGATTTCTGTCGGTTGGGGTTTCGCTTTTATTGACGCCGTCAAAACTGGGGTGGGTCTGTCGGCGCCAGGGGTTCTTCGATAATTCTAAATACGTATCCACCCTTCTTATTTCTGGTTAGGGATTTTTCATTCTTTTCCATTTTCGGTAACTCTCTCTCACTCCCACTCCCTTACTGTGCTTCTGAGGGGCGTGTACCCACTTCCCCACTTCTTCGTATCGGCTCCTCACACTTACACTTCTGATAGAGGCGTTGACCGATTCTCTTCGTGCGTCACGTGACCGCTCTCGGCCAATGAGGTCCTGGTCGGGTATCTTTCCTCCTCCTTCGTGTGTCATGTGATCTATTTGGCCATTGACGTCTTGGTCGGGTATCTTTCCTCCTCCTTCGTGTGTCATGTGATCTAATTGGCCAATGACGTCTTAGTCGGGCGTGAACAATCCGTGGCTTTGTTTTGGGAAAGAAATACCTTGCTTAAAAAAACAAAAATATTAATTAAATCGCCCTTATCATGAGCGACCGAGATGACACTCTCGGCTTTTTAACACGTGGTATTTGTCAAGCAGTCTATCGCTAATTGGACATGACCCAAGAAAGGATTTTCCTAGGCTAGCTGGCGTTTTCTGAAGCGAAATAAAAATATTTCATTTTCCTTTCGCTCGAAGGTCTGATAACAAAAATCTTTATTATCGCAGGGCAAGCATTTATTCTGCCAAAAGAAAGAAAAATTTTGCCAGTGACAACATCTTGTGTGGGATTTTTTTAATTCTAAAGACTGTCTGTGTTTTCGTATTAATGGTTTGTCTTCATATCCTTAGATACACTTCCCCACCCACCTAGACCTCTACTATCATTCCATTCATTTTCCTTCGGTTCATGTGTCTGATAACAAAAATCTT